CGTATGCTTCGTGGTCGAAGGTGCGGTACGATGCAGCTGGGGCATCGTTCTGCCCATCAACATTCCGGGGTAACTTCGAGAACTGCGTCCGGAGGAACACCTGGAATGCCACCTGATGGAACATGTGCAAACAAAAGTCTATATCGTGGATCAAGTGGACCAGCTTCCATGAAGGCACCCTTGATGTCACCAAGATCTAAAGTCCAGCGGTGAGAGACCAGGATCTGCATCAACAACACTAGGCTATGTTGACTCAAGGTTGGGGATTGTAACATGCCATCCTGGGCTTTTCGATCCAAGCCAGGGTCCAAATGACCTTGAAGGCACCACCTACTTTTGATCTGAGATGTTTGGGGGTCATTTACAGCTACGTTACCCTTCTTCTATGGCTTTTCGGGTGATGACGAAACGCCTCCCAATGAACCGGTCAGGATGTTTCTCCTTCAGCATCTGGGCCTTTTTGCCATAGTGAACTTTCACCGCTCCTTTTTCAGGGATAGTGGTCCGCTCTGCAGCTTTTGATGCATTTACCAGTTTCTGCAAGTCTGCAGCGTTGCCACTATGTGGGAGTTCCTTGGTTGCTTTCTTTTGGACATGTGCTGCAATGAGTACATCAATTTCATTGTTGCAAGCGTTCACTTCTTCAACCAACAAGACCTCTTCACCTCCATGATCAAGAGCTGCTAGCATGGCTTCATCACTCGCAAGCTTGGACCGATGTGGGTCCGGTGTCTCTGGATTCTCCAGTGTTCGTTTCACCGCCGGAGCGCGGTCGGATGCTTCACTTTTGCACCTGTTCCATGGCTTGATCAACTAGCGGGGGAACTACTTCACGCATGATTTCTATGAAGTCATCCTCACGCATGGCTGGTGCCCTGTACAGGGCATTCTCGTCTGACTTACCATGGACACGCCTACGAATTTGACCATATGAACTGCTTGACTGCTGAGGCTCAATCGGCGTGTTGGAAACACAAGGCACTTCGGGAATTGGAAGATCTGTTGGTGGTTGTGCTCCACGATTTGGTTTCTCAGGAACGTCAATTGCATGTTCTTTCAACACCAGGGGAGCCGGAACAGGCGGTTCTGGCACTTCCGGAGCAGCTGGCACTTGCATATCTTCCGAATCTACAGAAGAAGGAAACTGAGCTAACAGCGTGGCTGGCTGTTCTGATGCAGCCACTGTTGGAGGATACTGCCCTGGGACCAAATCCACGTACTGTTTACCCTTGAAGGTACCCATCAGATCTTTGATGCCCAACAATTCTGCTTCTGATCGTCTGTACCAAGGTTTTTTCCTCCGATGTTGCTGGACGAAGTTGTTCTGGTGCACATCTGAAAATTTGTTTCCAGTGAGCTATCACGTAGTTCCTACCTACCTTACCAATGATCATTGCGGTTCCATGCCAACAACCTCCTTTTTTGAGCCTGTGAATACTTTTGCTGACGCCAGTACGCTACCAGCTCACCTGCACGGAAGTCCTGAGACACCCTTGGGCGTGCCAGCAAGGCCTGTCTGAGGGCCCGATCATCCTGAAGTTCAACAACTGCCTCCCTAGCTGATGCACGAACTGACTGAGCCTCTTGTATCTCAGAATCCAACAACCCAGCTGTAGCAGGAATGACATGAAGTGGTTCATTGAGTAGGTCACCAGGAACTGGGGTTTTTCCCGACAACAAACTGATGAGGAGTGTAACCATAGTTCTGGATCATCTGACTTTTCACATGAGCATGTTTAACACAGCGCTCCCATGCCAGTTTATCACTTGGACTGTGTTCCTTGATGTCTTTTTCCAACACTCGTCCAAACCATCCACCATGACTCTCAGCACGGCCCAATTGCCAATGCGCTTCGGCTGGCATGAACTTGACTGAGGTTCCAAGTGACTCAGACAGTGCCTGTAAAGATTCACCCAACATGGTTTGGGCTGGGTCCATGATCCATGATGTCCTCTGAGGGTGGGCCGGCCCAACGTATCCAATGATCTTCAACCAGTTTGCGGAGTAGCTCGGATGTCTCACGATCATGAAAGGGAATCAGAGCTTTGATCTTTTGTCCAAGCTTCCAACGAGGCAGATACTTCACATCCAAACCGAGGCACTGATTAAACTGGGCGTGCCGGCTTAACTTGGCGGGCAACGGCACTTTTGGATCAACCTGTCATGTTTCGGGATACGCAGACCATACATACACATGCGGCGCTTGCACCAGTGGCATTTGTCCGACAACCGAGACACTTCGCCATAACCCCAGGTTCTGGCACCAGAGGGGTGTTCGAACAGTGCTCTCTTTCCACGGGCTAGCTGCTGTTCATACAGTCTACATACAAAACGAATGAACATACGGCTTTGCAACCGCTTTTGGGTGGCTTCTTCGGGATCCATTCGAGATTCGTTCAAATTTTGCCAACCACCTTCATGAGTACATGGAGGACAAATCAAAAGCAGTTCTGGGGGGTTTTCAGCCAACAGTTGTTCTACATGATCACGATCTTCTTTCTTGGTGAAATCATATCCATTCTTGATGTCAAAAGAGAGGGCTGAGAATCCTAACTCTTGAGCTGCTACAGAGAACCTGGGTGGACTGAACACCTCCGCAACCAAAAGTCGCTTTCCTTGGTGGAAAGATGCTTGGGACAACTCTCTGGCCTGCGCATTCAGTTGGCGCAGATGGCGCACAGGCATGCACTCGGTGTCACAGGTCTTCTCCTGAGGCCGGAACCAAAGATCAGTCTGAGTCTTACCAGTACTCTTGGGGATAAGAGTCATGTACTCACGCTTATCTTTCTTAGGGTTTATGGGTTGGTCAAGGATTATCTGTTGAGTGTCAAGGTCTGTGACAACTCTGCGGATGACTTGATGCCAATATGGTCCTTGCTTACCACTAAGCGGAGCCCATCTAAGTTTGACATCCACACGAGACCACACACTAACCCCAGACGGAACCTGTCCTGGGACGGCCTTGGACAAGACTTCAGACTCGGATGCACAGGAATTGACAGCATCAGGGAGATGCTTGGCTTTCGATGATTAGGCCGCTGGAGGCTCAGATGCAGCTAAGTTATCAGAATCCACAACCACCTGTTCAGAAACCATCACTTCATCGAACTGCGACTCAGCTGAACTCGGATTACCCATGAGCTGGATAACATACTGACCAGCAGAATTGAATCTCCAGAGGAACCACCCTTTGATCCTCGAACACATGCAATTCGTTTGCTGCAAAATCCATCTTGGTGGAGAGGGCTTTCATAGCGTTTCGAGAAATCAACAGTGGGGCCCTGCCTTGGACCAATGAGGCTTTGATGGTTCCCGCTCTGCCAGCTATGGTGACGGCAATCTTCACTGCTTCCAGCGATGTTTCACGGGCACCATTTCGAAACCTGAAATGATTCCGAAACCGCAAGGGTTTCGGGGCAGCTCACTCCCTGTTGGTTCCAAAGGACTTTGAAGCTTTCAAAAGTCTCCCTACCGATGACCGATCATCCACAACCAGAATCTAGAATACCATATTCTGGACTGCTGACCAACAACTGTTCATGAATCACCTGACTTCATCACGCAAACCAGTGTGGACGTTCTTGTCGATGCAAGACACGGCAGCAACAAAATGCTCCACTGCCGCAGCTCCAGTGTCATCCTTCGGATTGCTTTTAGATGAACTCGATGATCCTTTGCCATGACCTTTGCCTTTGGGGCACTCCCTAGACCAGTGTCCTACTTGGTTGCACTTGTGACAGCGAGTACGTTTCTTCAGTTCTTTAAATTGTCGTTTCATCTTGGAGGCATCGTGGAACTTCCGGGCTCTTTGCATTCGATTGAGGTCCTGACGACGTTGTTTCCACGTCACTGCCAGTGCTTCTGCGATGTCCGTTTCGTCGAACACTTCATCATCATCTTGACCCACGCTATGTTGAGCCAAAAACTGTTCCACATCCTCAAAGTCGTTGAGATCATCAGCGACTTCCTGCGCACCCGCAGACTCATCCTCTACCAGGCTGAGACCATACAGTTTGCGTTTCGGGCACACAAACTCAGGATAGCAGCTTCTCATCGCTCTTCCCAGCTCTTCTCGTTTCAAAACACCCAGTGACCTGGCCAAGACTACAGCCTGTTGTTCTGATGACAGACCTGAGCAATGTAAAATGAGCCATCCACGGGCCTCATCCGGAAAACTCACGTTTGTCTTCCTCTGCAACTTGTCAAAAGCTTCAGATGCACGGCTAATCCAACGCTTGAGGGTCTCACCTTCAGCAGCTTTCAGATTGAAGATGTCAGTCAAGCTCTCTGACATCTCGTCTGAGGCGTCCTTCTCTGGAAACCTCTTGTCCAGCAAACCCAGAATCACCTGATCGCCACCTTCTTTGTGAAACTGTGCAGGCTCGAGGCGCTCGATGGCCTCTAAGGCCTTTCCAGAAAGGCACGTGTAGATGAAGGCCCCTTTGGCCTCCGCCGGCATCTTCGAGGACAAAGTCAGTAGTTTACTACTCACCCACGCCTTCCAGCGCTTGTATTCCTTCGGGTCTTCATAATTGCCAGAAAACATTCGATGACATCGATGACCACCTTGGTCCTTGTTCGAGACATCCGACGCCATGGATCTAGCTGGAGCCAGGCCCTTATCGACCTGGCTCCGCGACCAATGTCGAAACACTGGCAACAAATCCTACCCACCGGGGCATGCACTCGGACCTTTTCGCCTGAGATGAAAGTTTCCTGCGGATTCGTTCCCATGACCTTCTGGATAGCTCGGATGAGCACTCGGCATGCGACTGGGCTAGAGGATGCTGGGAGACCTTGACATTAACACTAGTAATAGGATGTGATAGGGAAGATGATCTATTTTGAAGTCAAAGTGTAAGTCTTTAAATGAATATGTTGATTTTCTGAATCGGAAGCCTTTCGCCCTAATACTAAATACCTGCTAATAGAAACTAGATCCAGGTGTTTATGATTTGGGGAGGGGGGATCGCAACTGATGAAGCCTAGGTTGGGAAGGATGAGCCGCAAAGCGGCAGGAGAGCTAAATTTGATGCGCGCCTAGAGGGTACCAGGGTTTGGTGGACTGTTTGGACATGTTTTGGACAAGATTTGACATGATTAGGTTTCAAATAATTCCAGATTTTGGAATTTTATGAGTTTTGGTGTCTTTTTGCACGGAAATGTTCATTTTTTCATGCTGCAGCCTTGTGACCAGGAAGTTACATGACACCGTTTGACTGCAGATTAAGGTCAGAAGCTGAGAAATGGATTTGGAGCACATTCTGGTCTCATTTGATGTTGATCATTGAGCTTCCAAAAGTCGTCACCGAGTGCATGTGCATCACTGTGGGCCATGGGCAAGTGAAGCCCACCTTGAGGTTTCTGAGGATCGACCCTGGCACGGTGAGTGTAGCTTCGCAGACTGATCCTGTGGTGGCAAAGAATCGCCCAGATCAGTGGTCTGTCATTTTTAGAAGTTTTCAGTTTGGACTCCGCCTTTCGTGCTGCACACAGATCAGTGCTTTAGACCTGCTGAAGCGATATGTTCGTTGACTCATGTTTTCTTAGGAATACACTGGGTGGGCATGTGATAGAAGTATTGCGGCTAAAACCAGTGCTTTCTATTGTGCAGCGAAGAAAGGCACAATAGGTTCAGCTGCTTCTTGGGTTGAAGTGGTCCTTTGATCAGATTCCCCAGCCAGTTCACTCATGACATCCTTCTTTGACCACCGAGCCACTGGATTTGTTTGGACATTTGCTTCACTTGTTCCTTGCATTCTCACTGTGGTAAGAGCAGAATGTGCACAAGAGTTGGAGTTGATGGAGGTGCGATGATATGCCCAGGGCTAGTGGTTTGATGTATTTTCCTATACTTTCCTCGTTGTTCTGACATGTGAGCACGTTTTTTTTCCACGATTTCTCTTGTTAAAGCCAGGGATCTTCCAGTGTATCCATTTCCGGCACTGATGGTCCCATGCCCATAATGTCGTAAGTTTCCATGAAGCAGATGCGGTCACCTAGGTGCCTGAAGGGCAGCCAGGGGGCCAAATGTCTCACGTTTAAAAAGGTCAATGACCAGTAGAAAGGGATGCAAATTGATGGTGCAGGTTGATAGAAAATGATAGAAGGATAGGGCCTTAGTATGCAGTCGGACAATGTGATTATCATTTATATGTATATATATATTATATATATAGCTGATTTGTCAACACCTTGGGTCGTGACTTGCGATGGTTGCTACCTTTGAGTTATGGCTGCAAAGGCATGATGAGACAATCCTGTCTCAAGCCTCCAAAGTGGTGCCCCGACAAACCGGCTCGCAACTACTGGTGCTTGGTGCCAACCATTTTTCAATATTTTTCACAAGAAAAACCAATCAAATCCGACACACAGCCAAGGGAACCATGTGGAACGGCTTGTCAATTCAATTAATTAGCGACTAAGGCCTTGGACCTACAACCATCGCACCTTCCATGTTTTCATCGTTACCAGCTGCAAACAGTTCCTGCATTGCACATGGCTAGATCAACCATGCCCTGACCATCCAACATCGACGGAGTTACGGCAATGGCACGGTTGCCCTGACGCCAACTCGAGGAGTGTCTTGTCTCAAAATGTGTTGTTAGATTTACAGAATTGGATGACGGGAAAATTTAAAGCGGAAACCCCGATATTTGATGGTCAAAACCATGGTTTCGTCTAGATTTCCCTTAAACCAATTTATTGTCAGATGGACGACGGATACGTCTGTGTGGTTCAAAACGGTTGACGGTTAGAGGTGCCAGCACCAAGCTCCCAGCAAGTATTTTGGGGACGACCAGCACCAGGCGAGAGAGTCAGTGGATGTTTATGGCAAATATGAATTGTGAGCACTTGATAAACACAACTCTCTGGTGGTGTCTGTCTTATTGCGCCTTATTTTTTATCCTAGAGAAGATGCCCCCACCTTTTAGATTCGAGAAGTAGGCGAATGGCTTAGAGGATCTTATTTGTTTCACCTCCACCAGATTTTTTGCATATCACTAAGGTCGTGATGCCACCAGCGGTTGTTCTCGGAGAGTTTCGACGGCGGCCTGGGGATCTCAGCCCTGGAACTTGGGGGAGTTCTCCCAACTGAACTTTGCATGGCATCATCCATAAAACTTAGCATAAATCATAAGCTACAAACATAGATGCCTCCAATCAAAGGGCAACCCTACGCGTTGCGCGGAAATGCTTTTTTTAAAAAAGAATGCGGGTTGGACAAGTTTTGGCCGGATCATGTTTCCGACCGTTTCCGACTGTTTCCGACCGTTTCCGACCGTTTCATTTTTTCTGAACGATTGATTAGACCAATTCCATTTATGGAAGGCTGATCCAGTGCAAACCCGTGCAAACCATGACTCTTAAGATTTTTGGTGCCACCCTTGTGCGCGTACACTGCATCAAATATTGCATCTTGACCTTGATATCCAATATTTCCTAAAAATCACAAAATCCCAGGAGCTCGTGAAATTTAATAACGCATTGTGTATATATATATATATATCACAATCTCTGGCTCCATAGAACATGTTACACGTTTCTGTGTGCATACCATCTCTTGAAACCATTCAGGGCCTCCACGTCCATCGCTCACCGCAGCTCCCCCAGATCCATCGCAGATATCGATCCGAGACACGCCATGGCAGCGAAGCAACGCTTGCAGGAGCTCTTTGCCAAATACGACACCTCTGGAGATGGGGTCCTCAGCGAAGAGGAAATGACTGCAGCACCTGGGATGAAACCACCGGAAAATTTCCGAAAAAAAACTGTGGCGCTGATCATTGGATATCATTGGTATTTGTTGTTGGTTGCGGTTTCTTTAGAAAACTCCCCGCTATGAGCCGTACAAAAAACGGGAAGGTCCCCGCTGCAGTCGCTGGACATGAAGCGATTGCCCATTTTGAAGCGCAGCTGTTAAGATCATTTGAAATTTACAGAACTGCAGAAAAATGATAACCATTGAAGAACTATGCACATAAAGTGGCAAATTTTATTTGGTGAGCGATCTCCAGGTCGCAGGAATTCCTCTAGCATGTTCTTTGCCACCAGGTCTTTGAAGCCATCGGCATCAAGAAGAACAAGGCTCAAGCCATGTTTCAAGCCGCTGACGCGGACCAGGATGGCACCATCAATTGCCACGAATTCATTTCGTGGCTCACCAAGCAGCGCTTGAAGTATGCCTTGAAACAGCATACCGATGCTCGTTTTTCTAACATGACCCGGTTGGCAGGTTGACAATGGTTGGGAAAATCAATTGACTGCAATGCACTTGTTTGTTCTCTAACCTCCCATCTAATGGTCTTGTGAGAGTCGATGAAGCGTTCCTCTAGCCCCTAGTTTAGTTCATGCATTTTGCTTGACTTATGATTTATAAACAGGGACATGTGACAGATGGTCTAGACCACCCATTTATGGTAAAACATGGTAAAACCGGGTGCAAATGACAGAACTTTATGATCCAGGAAGAGGGTGCAGAACGTGGCGAAGGCAAATATTGGACGATGATCATCACCAACGCCTCGGACCGCGTGGGGAAGAAAGTGACCATCAATTTCACAAAATGTCGGCAGCTTACTGCGACATCAGCGAGTTGGTGGGTTCAAACATGTAGAGAGAGAGAGGAGAAGAAAAAAACACTAAGCACTGGCATTATTTCTTGGCAACATGTTCAAAATACCAACAATCCTTTGAGTCACCGGCCAAGCCACACCTTTCGCCCCATTTTTTGAGGCCAAAATATGGAGTTCCCTGAGGGAAACCCATGCGAGTTCACCTTGAAACCCGGTGAGCAGCTGGAGACGCCGGTGGTGATGAAACAGAACGGGAGGCAAAGTCTGCGGCAAAGTAGTAGGGTTGGTAGGGTTGGTTTGGCATTGAAGAAACTTCGCTGGCAAGTCGTTTTCTAGAACCAAAAAAAACATGTTGATCGAATATTGTTTAGCCGCTTGCGGGATCATGACCCCCAGGTGGCTCGCATGTGAAAAGCTGGATGTTTTCACTTGGCCGTGCTCCAGTAGCATTCAGGAGTGATTTGTGGTGGCCACAATATGAAGATAAAAACACTATCCACCTATTCTTGAGCAGAGTTGCGGGATACCTTTGCCTGCAGTCCAACATGAAACCATATGAAAGCCACAAAAAAAGGCCTTGGAAGATTTGGAAAAGATATATTGGAATCGGTTGGACATCATCAAGTGAACCACCCGGCACACAACGTGGAGGCCTTGGCGTTACAGCTGGCGCTCATCCAGCAAGTCCGTCTTCACAGGTATCGAAGATGAGCCCCGGGCGGCAAATGGCGGGATGGATCTGGGACCGGGACCTGTGGGAACTGATGACACTGGCTATAAATCTGGTTTTTACAGTAAACTTATTGGTTTTTACAGTAAACTTATTGGCTTTATTCAACTTTATACTTGAGCTGGGTTTTGGATTTTATGACGATTCATGCACCGTTCTTAATATTAAAATGATGTTTGGTGTCATTTTTGATGGTATAACCAACCCAAATTGTTGTCTTACGGTTTTGACCCCGGACCCACATGTGTAGGGTTGCTACTTATACAAGTGAATGTGTGATTTTACTCAGGGAACCATGACGATAGCCATTTTGGACCCAGTCCACTGCAATCGCCAAAGATGACCTTCCAAATTGCTGGCAGAGGCTCCAAGTAACGGCTATGGCCGGTCATGGAACTGCATGTTTTGTTTCCATCGCTCTTGATATTATACTTACCCATAGGATCCATGTATGCTATATATATATGGTAACATTTACCATCAATATACCCCAAATGTTAGCACATATACCATACATGGATCCTATGGGTTATACTAATTAATCAAGCACTCTTCATTGCATGGTGTCTCCATTTGGCCACGGATCATGCCAATTTTGCACGCGCCACTCAGGATTTGTCCAATGCCTTCACAGATCCTGATTTCCCTCATGATGAAAACAGCATCGGCCCCTGGGACTTCACGTGAACCCAGTGACCTGTGGCCTTCCACTGTGGGCATAACCCTGGTGGTCCAAAATAGCGGGATTAAACTGATTAAACCAGCAAAGTTGGGAGATGAGCAAGAATCGGCTGCCGGAGGATTCCAATTCACTCAGTTTGGCATGGGATGGGCTTGTCAACTCCCTAGGTTTGTAGTTTACACTCCCCATATTTCCCCATTCTTTTGTGCTGGTTTTCCTACCTGGTGTGCTTGTATCCCACTTTTAGGATGTTTGATCCCCCATGTTTTTCCACTCTTGTTGCTCTTCATCATGGCTCGAAATTTTTATTTTCATCAAATCAGGGGCTAAAACAAAAAACCACTTCCCCATTGGCCTGTGTGAGAACCGTCGCAGTCAAGGTAAGTCCACCACCTCCTTCAGCTGTGGTTCGGCAGACCAATGGGTGCGCGCGCGCATGTTGGGGGATCCTGCTGAGGCCATCGGGATTTCCGGGCTTGGGGACCCAAGCAGTTGCCTGTGTGATCATAAGGGGTCTAAGGTTAGTAAAGCAATAGTACACCCCCAATTTTTAAAACCATAAATGGGTGGTATAAAACATATAAACCATGACATTGAGCTTTACTAACAGTTAAAACCTCTAACGGTTCGACTGCTTATTGGCGCTGATCATGGCTGATCATGATCCATGGGAATCCCTATGAGTCCGGGTTTTTTTTGGAGACAACACGGGGATTTGTTGCTGCGGAGTAGTGGGGAAATGGATTGCTAAAGCAAAGTTGATTTAGTATTGAGGTGCTGTGATCAGTTGCCATTATTGGGGCGGAATATCCAGTTTTTTGGCTATATTAGCGTCTCTTGTTTGTGGTGAATCTTGAGCTTCCCTAAAATGGGGGTTACCCCTAAATTATATAAATTCTATATAAATCATTCATTATAACATGTTTTTGTTATTACAAGCCATCCCCCATCTATGGAAACCCCCAAATAGTGCAGCATGCAACCATGGTTAGATGGGTTTTTGGGGCAGTCGCTTGGTTGCACGGTCACTTAAGAGATGACGTCGGAAAAATATCGTTGGCCCAACGTGGGGACCACCCATGTTTACTGAGTGATGATCCTTCTTTTCCTGTTTAGAAGCGAAAATTATCACTATCAGGTACCCCCTGGTAAATTAATATAGACCCTGAAAATGACCAATTTAGAGTGGAAACTAGTCTTCCCACCCCTATCTGGCAGGGTCTATGTTAATTTACTGGAGGGTAACTGGGTCAACAACATGAAAATCTGGGAGATAGCCTCCCACATTGGCACGTTCAGCTTAAGGTATTGCTTGAAATCAGTGACCAGGGTTTCATCGGATGTCCCAACTTGAGAGGCGCTTCTCTTTGAGGAAGTTCGGCCACAAGATGCTTGTCACGGTAGACCATAGAAATTGAGAATGCTGAGACAACCCTTCAACTGAACGCAAGTAAGAAATCCTTTGGATGTGCCATTTTATTCTTAACTTGTATTGCTAGCGTTTGTATACGTGGAACCCCGAGTGGTCCAGGTCCAGGGTATTTATATTCCTATATCTCGCAAAATCACCACATCCAACGGAGCCGCCAAGGATGTGCATCAGGGCAGCCTGGGAGATTGTTGGCTGATGGCTGCGCTGAGCTGTTTGTCCGACTATCCGGGGAAGTTGAAGAGTCTTTTCAAAGATCGGCACATCACGGAGGAGGGAGTCATGCGCATCGGTCGCCGTTCTGCTTGGTACCTGATGTACATTGGATTTTGGGCCTACGACAATGTATCGAGAATGTATCCACAATGTGCAGAGTGTCATTTAAGAAGCATTGCCCTGTTTATATACTGTACATCTATTTGCTGGTTTGCAAAGTGATACCTTGTGATCGATGTACTTCCGTGCTTGACTGATATGATGGATCATTCGCACATGAAAATGTTGATGTCACCAGGATGGCAAATACGAAGTGTACCTCTTTGATCTCGAGAAAGATGAGTCTTTCGTCAGCAGTTGCATGGCGCCAGCTGGCTGCCATCAGGGCAAGTCCCGCAACAGGTCACCCCAATCAGACAGATCAACCAGATAAACGAATGTATCACATTCCGAATAACCTCTGATATCATTGGTCGTGATTTTTGCATATTTTTGCCTCCCCTGTCCCATTTCTTCAAAACGGGAAGCTTTTGCAGTGTTTCCGGTTTATCTCTTCAAAACAGAAAGCTTTTAAGCAGTTTTTCCGGTTTATCCATGTTTATCCAACATGATCTAACCATGTTCATCTTTTCTGTTCAGAATCGGCATCCAGCATGGGCCCAGGTGGGCCACGGTCGTGGTGGACGAATTCCTGCCCTGTAAGATCAGCTATGGGCAGCCGCGACCCGTCTTTGCGGAACCCTTGGGCGAGGAGATTTGGGTCGCCCTTTTGGAGACGCTTGGATCATTTGGATCCGTGGGAATTGTCATCTCAAAATGGCTATGACAACCCATGATCCCCCAAGGATACCATGAAAATCCATGAAAATCGGATCAATGGCTATGACAAGCCATGATCCCCCAAGGATACCATGAAAATCCATTCAAAATCCATTCAAAATCCCATTGTTTCATATTGTTCCCCCATGTTTTGATGGATACTTCGATGCAACGGTGCCCCATTTTAAGCCGCCATAGCCAACAAAGGGAAATCAATGGACAGGAAGATCCAGGTCTACAGACTGATCCTGGATCAGTGGCATTGCTGAAGATTGTGGACCTTCAAACCTGTGGGGGGACGTTCCGGACCAACTTTTAGGCGGACTTCAGATTCTATTCATTTTGTACGCGTGCTTGTTTGGAATTTTAGCACAATGAACACATTTCAAAAACATATATAATATATATATAATAATTATATATATATACGCACAGTAAATACATATAAAACATGATTCAACACATGCAATCATCTGTATATAACAGCATATGCATGTACATACACCCACACAGATATTATACATAGTGAAATGATACATTTGCATATCTGCATGTCTATCTTATATTTACTGTAAAAGTATGTATTTACAATATTTAAGTGGCACATTTTACACAAAACTTGGTATCGCCTCAAGGCCTGTGTTGTGGTGACATGTCGGGCTTTCCAAGGAAGGCCTTCGCCAAGTTCTGTGGAAGCTATGGAGCCTTGTCCGGTGGAGGAGTGGCCTTTGCCTTTCAGGTTGGGGCCATGGGTTGGGATAGGAAAGGGGGATACCATGGGATAACGAGGGTCTCACCCCAAGCCCACCCCCGTTGAAGATGGGATAACGACTCACAGGTCTTGGATGTTTTTACTGTTTACTGTACTTTGAACCTGAGATCATCTCTGATTTTTGTGCATTTCTCGCATCCATTTTTGGGATCGTTTGTGAGGGCCAAGTGACTTATTCACATCCCCAATTTCCATTGGTTGTTACTGATCCCACCGAACCATGGCGGTAGGTCTTGACTGGAAAGCCTGATGTGATCTCCTATGAGAAACAGAAAGACGCCACCTGGCGAAGGCGCAGGCTGAACCGCGAGAGGCAGAAGAAACGAGGCCGGCTGCGGTGGTGCCCCAAGATAGCTAAGTTGGTTTAGAACTTCAATAACTAGGAATTATGGTAGATATATATAATATAAACCATTTTATAACTGGGGGACGCGCCACATTGTAGATGGCTGATGAAACAGGAGCTGACTTAGTTTAAAGTCTGAGGAAGTTTAAAGGTTGTAACAGATAGTAATGGATAGTAGATGATAGTAGTACTTACTCGAAATATCATATAAGCGATGTTGACTTTCAATCAGGGAAATGTGAGTTTGTCCATGTTGATCCTGGTTTTGTTAAGCTTTGTCGTCCGACGCCATCAGGAACCCGCAATCCGAGGGGTACATCCTGGACGTGGAAAAACAAGACGTCCACCATTGATACTGACAAGTTGTTCGAGGTTCTCTCAGGTGGCTGGGCCAGCTGGTTGGTGATGGTTGGTGGCATCGAATCAAAAATGCAGGGATGGTGGAGATAACACCGCAATTAATGTATATATATATGTATATATATATATACATATATATATATATGTATATATATGTATATGTATATATGTGTGTATATATATATATACATGTATGTATATATGTATGAATGTAATGTAATGTAATTAAATTAATGTATGTATGTATGTATGCATGCATGCATGTATGTATGTATGTATGTATATATATATGCCATCATCGCAATTCACATAATCCACCAGTTGGGGTTTCAACGCCACAATACTAGGATTATTAGGATCTACTTGTACTGGGAAATAACAGGCTTCCAGAACGTTGCCAGCCCACCCAGCACAGTGCCAGGACATTGCGCCGACAAGCACGTGTTGGGCTGCAGTATGTCCAGCAAGGGAGCCGGTGTTGAGGAGGCTAAGGCTAGTGGCCTGTACAGCAGGCACGTCTACTCCTTGCTGAAAGTCATGAAGCTCGAAAAAAGGGCAGGGATGGGTCAGGGATGGGTTCAAATATCAAGATGGTTTAAAGTTTCCTACTTAGAACGCGGAAGCACATTTAGAACGATTTTATTGATTTTTATTGCCCATTTTCAGAATCACTATATGTTTCTCCGGTTTGATGTGGACTGGCCCGACAGGGATGGAGAAGAGTTGGAGTGGAATCCAGGAATCCAGGTCTGTTGAGCTTCCTTAAAGATCAATTTCAGTGAGTGCCTGGGAGAGGACAATTTCCATACCCTTTATGGCTGCTGTGTTGCTGATACATTCCCAATTTCTCGAGCTATTTGGAGGCACTAAAACGGGGTTGTTTGAACTTCGCGTACCCAAACACATCCTATGTTGAGAAAATTCATGAACATTCCACAAGACCCGTGAATTCATATTGTTTGATGATGTTTGATGGATTTGTTTGACCCAGACCCCGTTTTAAGCCCAGTATCCACATGTTCATTGACCAGCCCAGTATCCACAGCAATGGAACATTGAGGACCGAGACCCTGGATGACGGAAGTCCCGTGCGTTTGGTGCATCTCCGTAATCCTTGGGGCCACAAGGAATGGAATGGAATCTTGGCAGATAACAAGATCTGCGTCCCAGTTACACCAGATAGATAGATGGATAGATAGATAAATAACTACACTCATAATATATATATATATATCATACTATGTATATATATATATGTATGTGTATTATGTATGATGTATTTATTTATATATATATACACACTATGATATATACATATATGCACTATTATATATAATATATACTATATCGACTATTATTCGACTAGTATATTTAAAATGATAGATATATTATACTATTTCTATATATACATAATGTATGTATACCATGATGCTATTATATATATATTACACTATAATGTACATTATATATATGCATAGATAGGTATAGTTTATATTACCTTCCAGTAAATTAACATAGACCCTGGCAGGGGTTGGAAGATTAGTTTCCACTAAACATGAATGATTTTCAGGGTCCAACTGTTTATTTACCAGAGGGTAAATTCAATATCTTGCCAATCTTCCCACAATCTTCCCACATGAGCTCTGTACGTTTAAAGAATATTGCTGCCAGGACAATGGATGGTGGTGGCCGCATGTCATGTAGCTACCCTTGCAGTCATTTTATAAATCCGCCCACACCGCTTTGGCGGTGAAGGCGTGCTTATTGGGGGGCAACAGCAACACTAAATGCTCAATGACATTTGTTAATATAGCAGTCGCTATATCAGCTTTAGCTGGGGGGGGGGCCAAAAACGGTTTCGCACCGAGACCAGACCCCAAAAACGGTTTCGCACCGAGACCAGAATTCGGTGGTGTTTTCGACATTTTTCGAGGATTTTTGGGTGTCTGAGCGCAAGAGGGTATTGAAATGGAATTTTGGGTCATTTTGGTAGCTTTCCGGCAATGGAAAAACGGCCAAAAATGAAAAAAACATTGTACATAGCAAGATTTTGCAGGGTTTTTGGATGCCAGAGCATTGAAAACACTGCAAAAACAAGTGTTTTGGACTGACGTTATAGCAAAAAACGTGTAAATTACCGTATGCTTGACTGGAAACATTACAAAAACACTGTCAAAAGCAATGTTTTGGAAGGATTTACTGCCTTTATGGCAAAAAACGTGTAAATTACCGTCTGTTTGACTGGAAACATTGGAAAAACACTGTCAAAAACAATGTTTTGGAAGGATTTCTTATTGAAACTTCTTAGCTTGAAGAGCCCCCACGGGGGAAAACCACCCTTAGCCCCTCTCACGGACCGAAATAAACCTGCGGTGTGGGCGGCCACCCCACGCGAAGCGGGGTGAATAGTTGTGGGTTTTAGCATCCCATTGTTAAGGTGATTTGCTCTGTTTGGGGGATGCATTTGAAGCTGCAAACTTACCGAGTCAGGGTAGGCCTGGCAGAAAATCCAAGGAGATTGGGCTGATCAAGGTGATCAAGAAGAAAGCAAGTGGAAGGACGCTGGCACTTAGCATGCTATCTTCCAAACAAACTGGGGATGGCATACTGATTTGTCCCTACAGAAACGCTGAACTGGAGGAATTTGGTGAGGCTTCAGTCCCAAGTTTGGATTTGGATTCTCCAAGTTGCCACTGTATCAAACCACACCAAGTGACCAGGAGAACCCGCAGTTGGCTGAACGCCTGTCGAACACCAAGAGGACGGGGCTGAAGTTTGCCCATGGGAGAGAGCCAACAAAATCCTAAGGGACGCAGAAATCAGCAGAAATCAGCAGAATCACTGAAACATACTGAAACCATCAGAAAAAAATCATCGAATTTTCAACATCTGGCATCATGGTCTGCCTCCGCCTGGACATCGATTTGTGTCATCTTCTCCCTGCCATCTGATGCCGCTGATTGTGTCAACTTGGCTTATCAAATTGACCAAGTCATACCAAGTCGGTAGATAAACCTGGGACAATGAGCCCAATATGATGTTCACCTTTTCGTGAGATTTTTTTACGTTCCACGTAGATGGAGGAACGACGGCTGCTTCTACATGTCCTTTGAAGATTGGGTGCCACGGCGCGCTGCATATCATTTGGGGTATGTCACATCCTACCGGCCCAGTGACTTCCCCACAAAAGTCTCAATTGGAGATAATGATGAATCATGTTCGAGAAGCACACTAAAACACTCTAAAACATGCACAAATCGGCAAGACCTGGCCTTACAACTTTGGATAGTAGATCTTTGCCCCAAAGGTAAATCTCACATTTCCCCCAGTGGTATTTTTCATTGACTCATTGGGATGTTTTTACATTGGTTGGTGTTGGGTCCTACCCACTGAATCATCTTATTTGGTGAAGCTGCTGACTACCCTCCCCTTCTCGTTGTTTCCATCGTCAATTTTGGCAACCAGTTTTGAACCCCTGTCCCCACAACATATATAGTAAAGAACAATAAATCATCTGTGGTAATCCAAGCCAAGCCTTTACCCACCCTTTGGGGAGCTAATATCCCAGATGTATCCAAATAGCTGCTGATGAAGACACTCCGATTTTTTGGGTATCTCAACTTCCATATCCAGATCAGTTGGTATCCACTTGCGTCCAAGTTATCTCCATCCAATATCATCCAACGGTTTCGAAAGACATGTTCACTGACTGTTCACCATGTTTCAAATGTCATTTTATTGGAGGAACATCCACTTTTTTGCACCCATCTAAATTTCACAATGGGTTACAAATCCCATTTCTGGCGGTTAAAATCCAATTGTTGATTGGTACGCATAACAGTCACTATCTCTGTTTCTGTCCTGTGTCCAATCCCCGTCTTTGCCGCATACCGCGGTGCCCCCCCAGTTTCAAGTTGCTTTGCATTTAACTGTTTTACCATAAATCATATGTGCTGTAAATGTTTAGTTTTAACCAACTTGTATAGCTATCACAAATGAGCTATATCAAGCTATATCAACTATAAATCGACATTTCTCTTGGTGAAATTGCCATGTTTGTGACTAAATCACCATTTTTGCTGGTTACAACAGCATTTTTCGCCAACCCTCCCAACTCAGTCTCCCCTTATGGGTCACATCACCACGGCCCAAGGTGTCAGCCTTCACCTGCGTTTCGCTGTGCCCGGTGGGCGTCAACGCCGTGCCACCCGAGGAGGAGGATCCGGAGGAGGAGGCCGTGGAGCAGGACTGCCTCTCCAGTGAGAATGAAGCCGCTTGGAATGGGACGGCTGAAAGCGGATGGGGGTGAAATTGCTGCTGCCTAAATGAATAAATATTTTGGTATAGATAGATTAGATAGATAAGATAGGTAGGTAGGTAGGTAGGTAGATAGATAGATAGATAGATAGATATGATGATAATGATGATGATGATGATGATGTGTGTGCGTGCTTGTGTGCATATATGATTTTATGCGAAAGTCTATGTGTTGTTGTAGAAGTTATGTCCAACTTGATCCGACAAATAGTTCATATACCATGGTTGACCCAAGATCCAGTTGGCCCAGCTGGCGGGACCATTTCTGGTGATCCAGCTGAAGACTAATGTTTTTTTAAACCAAAGAATGGCATGATGAAGTTTGGATTGATGGAAAAGACATTATGATAATTTAATGCTAAATATCCATGGTGATTTTCCTGGTGATACACGAATAGCATGGTGATTTTCCTTTTGTATCCTTTTGTCAAATATCACCATGATGGTGGTACTTCCGCCGCGGCCCTGATCATGGAATGCACAGTGATTGCAGAACTGTGGAAAAGCGGGATGCAGCCGTGGAAAGGCCATGAAACTTGGATATTAGGGCAGGAGCATAGTCATTGCAGTAGAATTGTACTACAAATATGGGGATACAATGGGATACATACAATGTGCTGCCCCCCAGTTAGAAATTGGTTTAATAAGGCCATGAAGTATAGATATATCTACCATAAGTCCTAGCTATTGGAGTTACAAACCAACTTAGCTATCTTGCGGGCACCACCTTGTATGCATGACAACCCAGATGTTTTAAGATTTGTTGATGCCTAGTACTAGATCACGTACAGATTTTACAGTACCCTGGGGTAAACTAACATAGATGTGAACAACCAATGGCTAGGAAAAACAAATGGTGGGTTTTCTGCATCTATGTTGGTTTACAGGAGAATATTTGAGGTGCAGCTTCATGGTCTGAATTTGCGACACTTCCATGCACTAAGGAATTTGTATCCTCTGACCGCGAGTGAGTGGACCGCGAGGCCAAACAAGCTCTCGAGATCGGTGCTGACCTCATTGCAAGGTGTTCAGCTGGCCGTTGGTTGGTGTTGGATACCGAAATTCAGGATGCAACAACCAAATTTGCGCTTAAATGGTTCTCTAGGTACAGCAATTTAACAAGCAATGATTTTGAGATACGGGCCACATTTGTATGCATATATTATATTATATTATATTATATTATATATATATATC